TCTGAGAAACAATTGATACTATAAGTAGAAACTCATGTCAACAATCCAATAAAATGTCATCAAATCCTGAAAACAGCTTGGCGAATAAATGCATACCATTATGCCTTGTCATTCTCATTTTTTTCTGACACATACAATGGGAAACAAATTAAGTGATGAAGACAATATACAAAAAGATTTGGTATCCCACAATGCAATTCCAGGGAATGATATCTTCCTCTACTTATTGGCAAACAAACAACATTATAATACTTATAACCATGACAATGTCTCAAGTCTCGAACAAATCTTTCAAGACAAGGCAGGATGTGTATATACCATTTAAAACTTAAACATGCTGGAATGACAATCAAGACAATGGTTGTGCATATCAGTATTATTAAAATTAATACAGTTATTATTGTGCTCTTGCACATGACTGATGATAAGATTCTAATTCAAACCTGAAACAATAGCAGTTTCGAGAATGAACATAGAGGGTGCATGATGTACCTAACTAAACAATTACATTGTGTTTTTCTAATTTAATGTTTTTTATAACATGATTACACACAGTGTGTAAAAGTTCATCATTTCCCATATCTTTCAGTATATGTAGCAGTTTCTCAACTGTATATCCCTTTGGCTGGACGTGCTCGAAAACAGACATAGTTTTATTCTCAAAATTATTCAGCAACTTTTCCTCAATACCCCAAGCCAAACCAAAATGATACCAGAATTTAACACCTTGGTCTTCTGGCTTAGGATTAAGTATTAAACTGATTTCTTCCTTGATTACAAAGCCCACTTTGGTGAGGGGAAGATCTGGAATGAAAGTTACAATAACGTGATATTAGTTTAAATATTGTTGAGTCTGCTTGAATAGTAAGAACATGCTCCCTAGTCAGTAGGAGAATTGGGAGGGGGGATCTAAGAGGTCAAGGTTAAGTTTAATTGCTAGACAAAGTTATTGCAATATACCTATTTTGGTAATCTGAATAACTATTTATTTTATTTTTATATCAGCATATGAGAAACCACATAATCCTACAGCAGATAAAAGTTAGCGAAATTAACCTTTTGATCACTACTCAACTTCCAGTAAATGAATTACTGATTTTTTTTAGAAATGTATTCGTCATTATATGAAGCAGTAAAGTCAAATTTTTCTATCATTTCTGGTTTTGAAGTAAATGCATTTGTCTTGCTAGTCCCTCAAGGAATCAAAAAATAATACCATATAACTTACCGTGTCCTTTCATACAAGCCGTTTGAAATAACTGATCAAGTTCTTCGTTCTTCTGTAATAAATATATAACCAAGAAAAGTTAGTATAAAATTTGTCATTCATACAAAAGAATCCTTGTCAAAATATATTCCTTTAAGCTGTTGTGAAACAAGTTTATTGACGATTACAAAATAACTTGCCATGATGTTGTTGCTTCCAGGGATTAGTAAAGTCTTAGGCCTATCAAGAGACTTATATAAACTACATTACTTGGTAAGACAAATAAATTTACTCTTGCCTTAATAGTTCGCTGATTCATTCTTCTTTGGTCAAAGTCTACATCATACTTTTCAGGTCGTGCTGGTTCTGAGAAGGATCGATGATAAAGTGGTCTACCTTGCTTTGTAAAGGTTGGTTTCAACAGAGGATCCTGTTCTCCAGCAGATTCACCATCACTTTCTCTGTAATTACTGCAAAAAAAACAACACATTTTCAAGAAGCGAATTTAATAATAATTAATGATATAATATTGATAATGAGACAAATATGGCAGCTATTTTAATACAATGTCTCCTACATCAGCACTAGAGCCATGGGGCATAATATTTGTTTACCTTGTGTTCTTGAAGTGTACTTTCTTTCCATTACTAATACCGGTAATGCCTAATCTGGAGTCTGTAATTAATGAAGACAAATATTGAAAAAACCTTGTTACAAAAACAACTACATTGCAACATGAATGAGAGATTTAAAAACCAACTACATAGAGAGTGTTGTATATGGTTTATCAGATTTTGAGACAACAGAAGCATTTCTATACATTAGTCTGATTTACATGACAAGAGAGTTACACAAAATTTGAATGGGGTAAGGCACATTCAGAGAAGATGGTAACACAGTGGAAAGAAGGTTCCGGTGCTGGACAAGGCACGCACAGGGCAGATGCTTCCATTCTTTATAGACAAGGCACCCTATGGCAGATGGTTCCATTCTTTTATGGACAAGTCACACAGAGGGCAGATGGTTCCATTCTGTATGGACAAGTCACATAGAGGGCAGATGGTTCCATTCTGTATGAACAACGGCACACACAGGGCAGATGGTTCCATTCTGTATGGACAAGTCACACACAGGGCATATGGTTCCATTCTTTATGGACAAGTCAC